TCTTCTTCTTATTGGTGTCCTTTAGTAGTGGTTTCTTTGCAGCAATTCGACCATGAAGACCTGATTCACACGGTCTCCTCTGAACAGTTGATTTTGAGATGTGTCGTTTCTCTTTGCTTATTTGAGCTGTTCTTGCCATAATATGGACTTGGTCTTTTACGAAATAGGCCTATTTTCTGTATACCCCCTTAACTTGTCACAACACAACTGATTGGCTCAAACTCATTAAGAAGGAAAGAAATTCCACAAATTAATTTTTAAGAAGGCACACCTGTTAATTGAAATGCATTCCAGGTGACTACCTCATGAAGCTGGTTGAGAGAATGCCAAGAGTGTGCAAAGCTGTCATCAACGCAAAGGGTGGCTATTTGAAGAATCTCAAATATAAAATACATTTAGATTTGTTTAACACTTTTTGGTTACTACATGATTCCATATGTGTTGTTTAATAGTTGTGATGTCTTCACTATTATTCTACAATGTAGAAAATAGTAAAAATAAAGAAAAACCCTTGAATGAGTAGGTGTTCTAAAACTTTTGACCGGTAGTGTAAGTTAGATATTAAACTACCATAAGTTTAAGTGAGTGCTATTTATACTTTATAAATGTTTTGAGTGACCAGTGTAACTTCTCACATGAAGATGGGCATGCCATTGGTAGGCATTTCTGCATTACCTGGTAAAAAGATAAGCACACAACACAGGATGTTTAAGGAAATATATACATGTGTGAATAACTAGCTGACTAACATTTACAAATGTGGGAGTATTGATTAATAAATGGTGAGCAAACGGTTTGTTAATGCCTTTATAAATGGTTTATTATAGACCCTTAAAATAAAGCGTTACCATAATTGTTTTAATGATTAGGCAGGTTCGTGAGTGTGGTGGTGAGTGTGGTGGTTCCATTACTGCAGAGAGAACCGCTTGTTTCTAGCCCAAACCATTCAAGAGTTGTGACCCATATTACCGGCACTAGGTGTAATTTTTTTTACAACTTCTATTGCGCGTTGGCGCTGCAGCTATATGCATCTCCATTGGCAGGCTGCATTTTACATTCATAAACCATGTCGTGAGCTGTTCTAAAACTACTCGCAGGCCGTTAACACTTTGTTCCGTCATGTTACCTCATTAGCTAGCTAGCTAACAACCTGGAAAACTTACCAGTATATCCAAACATTTTGGGACATAGAAAGAATGGAAAAGGGATAGCTTCTTCAGGAGATCAATGATCACTCACAAACGTGACATTCTTAAATTGACAGTGTACAATTTTCAATGTAATGCATCTCAGTAGGAAACAGTGCTTTTTACACGATGTAGAAACCTAATATTCCACAAATTACTTTGTAATTTCAATAACAGGTATTTTAGCAGGGAGTCACAATTGAGACCAGTGTCTCTTTTTCAAGGGAGCCCTGCATATACAATTTTATAGAACAAAAAAATGGAATACAATATAAAACAAGTAAAATACAACACGACACAAATTGCACAGACAAACATAAATATACAGAAAACACAATGAACTAAAACACACATTCTTCATTATAAAATTCCTCTGTCCACTCTCTAAACTGTCCTAGGGACACTAAGGCCTCTATGTGTACTGTTTTTGGGAGATTATTCCAGAAAAACTAAAAGCGGATTTACCAAAGGCGTCTCCAAAGTTAACCAACCGTGTGAACTGGTTTGATAACTTGTAATTATGGACACTTAATAATAAACAAATACCTTTACAGGGTTACATATTAGTTTCTAGGGCACAACATGTGCTTCAAAAGTAGCTAGAATTCATATAGGCCCAATAAAGGCTGTATCTCAATCAATTTTAAAAAATCTTATTTTCTGGTGCTCCTAAATTTTATGTGGTGCTCCTACATTTTTATAGTTGGGAGCACCAGTGTTACCAACTAAAAATGTTAATATAGAGCCCTGGTAGTAGTAGTAGTGCAGTGGTAGTATTTGTAGTAGCATAAATAGTAGTAGTATCATAGAAACATCATCCATTTCACATAACATACAGTATACTGCTTATTTTATTGGTGGGCTTATAATATGAGGTCTTGATAAGACAGGCCATTTGTAGCAAGTCTTAGCAGTTTTGTGATGGATAACTGAATTGGGACTAAAAAATCTGAATGTGATGTTGAGTTGGAAGAAATTGTGGGTAGCAAGAAATAACAGTGTGTTTCTGTTAATTCACCAAACTTGCTGGTTTTTGGAAGAAACTGTACCACTGTGTTTGAAAGGATGTTGTGTGCGTCTGATTTGATTCCATCGTTGTCAAAAGTAATCACAATGACATACTGAGATTTATTGAATGATGCAGCCAGTCCACTTGCATTGAGATTGCACTGAGAGCAGAGTCGTGAGCAGCAGTTGTGTGTTGACTTGTGAACATAGCATCTAAGGTCAAGCATTTTAACAGGAGCGAGTGGCATGAGGAATGGAGGCATATGTCCGTCCCAGCCTGACAGACGCCACAGTGCTTGGAGTGCAGCGAGGCAAACCGGCACAGCCAACATAGCGCCATGTGAAGGGAGATGCCAGTTGCTTGTCTGGATAGCTTGTCTGAAGCACATATGGGCACAGCAAGTTTGGATGTCTTACAGCCCTTGTCCCTGTGAGGGCCTCATATACCCCGGCTCTGGCTACCATAAACAACTGATTTGTGTTAACAATGGTGTTGTTGGTACTACAAATACTGCCTTCAAACCAAGGTTTCATATACTGCTTTGTCTGTTTAGTTCATATTAGATTAGCTTTTTTAAACTGTAGCCTAGGCTATATGTAATGTTGTAGTATTGTCTGCCCATAAACTAAGACCTTGTGCAATTGCCAGTATATCGTTTGAATTGAGGATGATAAACTAGAGATAGGATGAGTCAGACAATAGAATAGAGAAGTAGTCCAATCCATATCAGTATATACTGTGTCATTAGCTGCTCCATAAACACAATAGGAAAACAACTCCGCAAACAGACAGGGGTCACAGCCAGTATTCGGGCCTTTCCACCAATTCGATGCCTTTTGAGAAGTGTGACTTAGACAAATTACTTTTAATTTCAACTAATTTTAACATTCTGTCATAAAGAGTTCAACTTCATTAAAACATTTTTTTTTCCCATTTCGAGTTTAAACGACTATAGTAATTGCTGCCAAATAAAGTAATAGGGTTGACCGTAACAGGGTTGACGATTTCATCTTAAATTATCCTTAAGTCCCCTTGTGCCAGGGGGAATGGAAGCAACAGGGAGGGGCAATTGAATGAAAGCTTCACAAAAACAAAGGAAATTGTTAAAACATTTCTAGCCTGTCTATCTATGGGTAACAGGGTTGATGTGTTATGCTCGACCCACTCAGTTTTCCACCACAAAACACCAGAAAATGGCCAAAAAGAGTAGAACCAGCTCACCTGCTTTTAAACTGATTTGGCTATTAGATGTTCATTGTTTCTTCAAAAAAGATGTAGAAAGAAATATTTTCACCATATTAAAATGAGAGTTCAGTTCACGTAACAGGGCTGACCTTGAAATGAGGGACAGACGTAAATGAATCACTCATCACATGAAATAAATAATCTTCAGAAATGACTTTTTCAAAGCAACAAAATAACTAGGGCTTTACTATGATGGTGAAAACTTGGGAAAATGTTGGGTGCATGGAGGAACATGTAAAAATGCTGCATTTTGGCACTTTAGCAAGTCTTTATTCATATTGTAAATCTGATTTAATGAATTTTCCATGTATTCTATATTAAAGGGCACTTCATTTAATATAACAGGCTTTTAAAATTCAATATTGGTGCACAATTTCTACTTAAAATATCAAAGGGACGCACGCAAAAGGCTCTCATTTTGTGGAACGACCCATTAACAGTATTGTAACACTGTCAAACCTTGGCAAGGGTTCTCTTCTCACAGATAATCCAGCGGAAGAGACATGCTTTGATTTGTCAACAAAATCTTTGGCACGTTTTCGTTACTCAGTTCATACAACTGACTGTTTAAAGTAACAAGTTACTTGATGACCTAGGCTTGTCCATACATGCACTAACAGGGTTGATTCTAGTTCATTGCTGTGCGGGTTGCCTGCTACTCAATTGGTTGCATTTAGCGTAGAAGCGCGCGATGACCCACCAACCACCATTTTGGGTCGTCTGTCAGCTGGGCCATTCCATACGAGATTGGCCCAAAGATATTTATGATGTATCATAACTTAAAAAGTATCAGAGAGCCCATGCTGGAAATGTGATGTACTTGTAGAGTATTCTTGTTTCAAACAGTATGTCCAAAATGAACAAAAGCAAAATGGGCACTTTTGAGATATTTACATACACTGTGTATATGTATTTTGAATTATCCATAAATGTATGTACAGAAATTATATTCTTGATCTAAACACTAATCATATTTCAGAGCACAAGGTAAGTTTCAAATGACACCAAGGCTGTCTTTTAAAGCATCTACAGAATCATTGTTGTAGTCATCTCCCAACTTGAATTAGTTATTTCTCAATAATTATTTTGGATACAGATTTCAAAGTTATGCCAAACATCCTTCCCCAAAGGGTCTTTCTATGGATTTCATTTCAGGAAGATCCTAAACATCATAATTAGCCTTGGGCCAACCTCGTGCGGAATTGCCCAGCTCCTATATTGTAGGTCAGCCTTCCTCTGCATCCCTCCATGGTCACCCCCTGGATCATATTACTCTGTAATCACCCCCTTTCGCTGTCAGTCCTCTCTGATCTGTTTTGACTTGGCTTACAGTTGTATACTGGTATGGTATAGCCCAGCAGTTAATTTGATATCAGGTATTGTAATCTAACTTCAATGCAAGGTCACATGCAAGACTGTATAAATACAGCCACTGGCTAAAGAAGTCCGTATGGCATTTATGTTTTATGCCTTCGCATTCAACAACGCTTATGCGGCTAGGGATGGGCAGATGGAGGAATATCATTTATACAAATAGGTTGAGCAGATTGACGTCATAGTTAGAATTTGATGCCAGCTGGGGACACCCAGATGTGGCGCTGAGCCAGCATTTGCTGCAGAGGGAGAAGAGAGGAGAGGAGAGCAGAGAAGAGAGGAGAGTAACTGACTGGGCTGTGTGCTGGTTTCCACTACATAACACATCCACAAAGTCAGATTCCACAGCCACAAAGTCCAAATTGGCAAAGAAATAAAAAGGCTAGGGTTAGGCATAAGGTTAGCAGTGTGGTTAAGGTTAGGGTTAAGGTTTAAAATCAGATTGTGACTTTGTGGCTGTGCCAGCTAGTGACCACTCTGCAGAGCTGCCTCCAGAACAAGATTCATGACGAAAAACGCTAACCTGCTTATTTTATCATCCCCCCTCTGTTTGAAATGTTTAAAGTTATGTCAATTTAATTTGGAGAGCTTTTGAAATACAGCTCACAACCTAGGGGAATTTGCAAAGTTTGCATCATCCTTTTCTTAGAGGGGAACAAAACACACCAACAATTGTGTTTCATTCTAGGAGTTTTGTCTAAATGATCCTTTTCTTGTGTCCTTGCAGAGACGTGGGGCGATCTCCTATGACAGTGAGGATCAAACGGCTCTCTATATTCGCATGCTCGGTACGTATGGTATGATATTCACTGGATTTTTGTATCACTCCATAAATATTGAAACATATCGAATGACCTTCAACTACATTTTCACCATCCATAAGGATATTGATTATTTAAGTAATGGTTTGATGCGTGTTTGTTATTCAGTAGATAAGCAATATATCTCTACTGCTGCAATATCTAGCATGTCTAATCTTGTGTGTACATCTGTGGGTACTGTTACCTAGTCATACTGACTAAGAAAGTGTATGTGTTTCTGTTTAAGATCCTGTATTCATTGTCTCTTATGAATACAGGATCTTAAACACTTCCTCTTTCTTAGTCCGTATGGATAACAGTACTTAAGATATTTTATATCACAGGTGAGGAATGTAAGATGTAAGATGTCTCCTAACAAGATAACAGATTGTATTACCTATTAACTACCTTATCTAGTATAACTGCAGAGTCTGTTTTGATCTAGTCTGAATAGAGAGGCCTGCCTCTTCTCCAGCTCTACACTGACACCAGTGTGAATACTAATAGTCACTTTGGCACTGTGTCACAGCCAGGCTTCCTGTTTAGCTGTGTCTGTGTCGTTTCAGTTTCCTAAATGGCACCCTATACCCTATAAAGTGCACTACTTTTGACCAGGGTTCTGGTCAAAAGTAGTGCACTACATAGGGAATAGGGTGCCATTTGGGACGAAGCCTCAGTCTTAGCAGGCCCAATGCTTTACTAAATGAAACCCCTCATTATTGCAAGTACCTTGAGGACGATGTTTTCCCATTCCTTCTAGGAGATGTGAGAGTCAGAAGCCAGGTGGAGTTTGAACCAGAGCGAAGAGGGTCTCATCCCTACTTGTATGTCGATTTCCGAACTTTGCACTGTAAGTAAGAACCAAAAACTCCCATTCAATGTGCCACCACCCCTTGAAATCTCTTCTATCAATAAAGAAGCTGGACCTTTTTGCAACCCATGATTTGTTGCTTGTTGCTCTTTGATCGAAGTAACCCTTTGTCTGATACATAGACGTATGAACGAAATGGCAGATACTGTATGAAGTGAACACTAAACAATCCCAAATGTAGGTAGTGCATCTAATGGATATGAGACTTGAGTGCTATTCTTGCTACATTTAAACAGTCATGTGCTTGAATTAATAAAATGAAAGCATTTATGATATTAGTCACTTGTCAAATTGAATTGTCTGAAAAGGTCTATAAAAAGACCATTGTACAAAGTGTTTCTAGCAAACTGATAAATGGAAGCCATCCAGCTGACTGTCCTATTGATGTGATCTTATATGTTGTGTTTGCTGACTGTGCAAAATTTTCCAGCAATCAATATTGCATTTTAGAATTGTTGGGGACCATCGCCTGTTAGACATTAGACATTAATTTGTCCTGGCTCTGTCTGTAGGTGCCTTGATCTTTTGAATACATTTCTAGAATGCTAGTTTGCTGCAAGAGGCTATTTGAGGCTTGCTAGTCTGCCATGGTGTGTGTTGACAATGCAGGACTGAGATTGGTGGGCTGCCAGCTGGCTGGAGAATGGACTGCTGTGTCAGCAGCATGTCTGCACACTCACACCCCTTTGCACCAGTCACAGTAGTTGGGGTGACCACGGCATGGCAGGCTCAAATCCTCTCTGTTTGTCCTCTGTCCGTGCAGATGGAATTTTAGGGCTACTCACTGTTTGAATTGGCTTGGGACTCTTCCTTCGTCTTTTCAAAAAGTTTCACAGTAAACAGGTTATTCACACTCTGTGAAATGCATCTGTTGTATATTGATTTTAGTACAGCAAACCAACTAACAGTATCAGCCCGATTTGTTATTGACTTATTGTATTGGTGTGTATTTTACGTTGTCCTGAATGATATGCGGTGCTATGCTTTTAGTACAGAGAGTGTCGATTCCTTTGTTTTACAAGCAGATGAAGAGTATGGAATTCTGTGCCAACAGACCATTTCTGGTGTTTGTTTTAACAACAACATGTGACCTAGCTAGCTAACTTCAACTTGAAAGATTACTTTATGGAAAAGATCTCCTGAAAGCTACTTGATAATGCAACAAAGCATGATGTTACTCTTACTTTAAATGGATTCAGTTGTTAGCTATATAAACTTGGCTTAGCTTTAAAAGAAAGTGAGTGCATTTCAACCATAGCTAACGTTAATGGTTCTGTACTTACAGTTGAAGTCGGAAGTTTACATACACTTAGGTTGGAGTCATTAAAACTCGTTTTTCAACCACTCCACAAATTTCTTGTTAACAAACTATAGTTTTGGCAAGTCGGTTAGGACATCTACTTTGTGCATGACACAAGTCATTTTTCCAACAATTGTTTACTTAAAATTCACTGTATCACAATTCCAGTGGGTCAGAAGTTTACATACACTAAGTTGACTGTGCCTTTAAACAGCTTGGGAAATTCCAGAAAATGATGTCATGGCTTTAGAAGCTTCTGATAGGCTAATTGACATCATTTGAGTCAATTGGAGGTGTACCTGTGGATGTATTTCAAGGCCTACCTTCAAACTCAGTGCCTCTTTGCTTGACGTCATGGGAAAATCTAAAGAAATCAGCCAAGACCTCCGAAAAAAATGTGTAGAGCTCCACAAGTCTGGTTCATCCTTGGGAGCAATTTCCAAACGCCTGAAGGTACCACGTTTATCTAAACAAGCCAGACTACGGTTTGCAACTGCACATGGGGACAAAGATCGTACTTTTTGGAGAAATGTCCTCTGGCCTGATGAAACAAAAATAGAACTGTTTGGCCATAATGACCATTGTTATGTTTGGAGGAAAAAGGGTGCCCGAAATGTTTAACCCAAGTTAAACAATTTAAAGGAAATGCTACCAAATACTAATTGAGTGTTTGTAAACTTCTGACCCACTGGGAATGTGATGAAAGAAACAAAAGCTGAAATAAATCATTCTCTCTACTATTATTCTGACATTTCACATTTTAAAAATAAAGTGGTGATCCTAACTGACCTAAGACAGGGAATTTTTACTAGGATTAAATGTCAGGAATTGTGAAAAACGGAGTTTAAATGTATTTGGCTAAGGTGTATGTAAACTTCTGACTTCAACTGTATGTTTCCATAGCCCGACCTGAGGCTGCGCGGCCTGTGTCTGCCAGGAATGTCCGCAGGCTGCTGAGCTTTCAGAGATACCTCCACTCGTCACGGTTCTTCCACGGCATCCCAGCATCCAACCCTCTAGGCTACATCCTTGACGATGACTACACAGGTCAAGCCAAGGTCAGTGCCACTGCGATTCTATCTAGCAACAGTATTTTGTCATCTGTTTTGTAGATGTTAGTGTTGTAGTATCACTGAGTAGGCCTAACTGTATAATATTTCATATGTTTCAGTTAATGCTGCAGAAGGTTGGAAACTGGAACTTTGATATTTTCCTGTTTGACAGACTTACAAACGGTACGGTGTTTTCCTAGGTGATTGTTGCCCTCTGCTGTTTGAGAATTGCAGATGCAATGCATGCTGGTTTTATGGCTCACCTTGACACAAATATTGCTCTCCATTTCTATTTGGAGAATGTTCAATCATGAAACATAATAGTTTGTATAAATGTGGAGGACGTGATTTTGTTGTGGATGGCGTTTTGCTAGTCAGACTAATTATATGTGGTTGGAGTTCAACTTTAGATTAAAGAGTAAGACAATTAAATCATGTGTCCCTTGTCTGTTATTACAAACTGTAGTGTTATTATGCATTTGTTAATTAATTGTTTCTGTTCTGCTTTCTGACAGGGAACAGCCTCGTCAACCTGACCTTTCACTTATTCAACAGTTATGGGTTAATAGAGCTCTTCCAGTTGGACATGGTTAAACTTAGAAGATTTTTTGGTATGGAAATGCATACATTTCAAATGATTAAATACACCATATTGCATTGGGACATGGATATATTTAAACCCAATATTGTCTACTTGAATGAAGTGGTGATGCATAGTTGAAACCTACTACAAATTAACTGAATAACCAATGTGTTTGTGTTATTATTAGTCATGATTCAAGAGGACTACCGCTGCCAGAACCCCTACCACAATGCAGTCCACGCTGCGGACGTGACTCAGGCCATGTATTGTTACCTGCAGGAGCCCAATGTGAGAGAAAATTACATGGTTTATCACTAAGAAATTACTAATCTACACCTGAATGATATGCTCTGTAAAAATAAGGTCATAAAATATATCGATACTGGAAACCATGTATGTATTTTTGTGTTTGTTTGTTTAGTGTTTTATTTTGTAGAAGGATGTGTAGATTTTTGTAAGACATTTGAGCTTGTATCCTTCAAAATGTATGGACTTTCAATAAAATAATACGAATCTACAAGTACACCTGGAGAGGTTTGTTCCAACTGTGACTTCATGAGGAGTCTGATGATGAAGGTTCTGTGTGTTTGCAGCTTGCTGAGACGCTGACTTCCTGTGATCTCCTGCTGGGTCTGCTGGCTGCTGCCACCCATGATCTGGACCATCCGGGCGTCAACCAGCCTTTCCTCATCAAAACGGACCATTACCTAGCAGCACTGTACAAGGTAAGGCCCTATACTGGAAATAGCGCATGGACTCAATGCTGATGCTTGTGGTGATTAAACAATTTCCCAAACTGGGATGAATGAAGTACTACTCTACTCGTCATTATTTGAGTCTCTTTGATGGATAAAATGCTGATGTAGTTTTCCATCAAATGTTGAATGACTTTGAAATACATGTTAATAGCTGGCATCAGACATCAACTAGCCCATGTACAATATATTGAGCTCTTTAATAAGTAATACAAGTATTTTTTGGTTGTGTTTGCCATTGTAGAATAGCTCAGTTTTGGAGAATCACCACTGGAAGTCTGCCGTGGGCCTGCTCCGCGAGTCAGACCTGCTGTCCCACCTCCCCGCTGAGGACAGGTCAGTTCACCTGTTTATTCGATTCAGTTCAAACAACTTTATTTGTCCCCTTAGGGCAATTATATATGCATAGCACCTGTAGGAGAGACACATTTATATTTTGTTACTGGACACAGAGAATGACAGGACATCCTCTGAATTTAGTTTCCTCTAATCTGGTGTTTTGTTGTGTGCCATGAAAAAGGTTTGATTGGATTAGGATCGCTATGTAAAGTGCTTGATTTGGTTTTATCAGATGCAAGTGATTACTGCTAGTGATCAGATCTAGTCTATTTAACTACATCCACTAAGACATTTAGTTTATGTAATACTAACTATGGGGTCCCCAGATGTAGCTAATTTAAATGTATCTTCAGACTTCATTGCCATTGGAACATTGCAGTAAAAAAGGACTTTGCGATTATGTTTATGAAAATGACTGTTTCATTAGTGTATATACTAATAAATATTGATTGGATGTTGTTGTCATTTAGATTGAACATGGAGGAGCGGCTTGGATCCCTGATTCTGGCTACGGACATCAGCAGGCAGAATGACTATCTGTCAGAGTTCAGGACACACTTGGACAAGGGAGACCTCTGCCTCACGAACGGTGGACATCGAAACTTTATCCTTCAGGTGAGCAAGGTGTTTCCCACCTAACAAAAGGAGCATAAATGATTGTACTATCCATTGCCCTTTTGAACTGTTGTGGAATGATTTGTGGCTTTAAGAGATCATGTGAATCTCTGAGGCACTGAAGTGTTGCAAAATGTCCGGCTTGAAACAGTCAAAGTGAATCATCCATGTGGTTGAGGCTGATGGAGAGGAAAGAGAGAGAGTGAGACAAACTGAGCGATAAATTGTCATTTTCTGAGTCTCCGCTCTGTTTTCCTGATTGACCCTGTAAAGATGGCTCTGAAGTGTGCGGACATCTGCAACCCCTGCCGACCGTGGAAACTCAGCAAACAGTGGAGCGAGAAAGTGACAGAGGAGTTCTTCCACCAAGGTACTGCACCACGAAACTCGGGACTGGGCTAGTCTTCGCTAATCTTAATCCAGGTGTTTATTAAGAGTGCAACCAAGCGTGACAGTACAGTTTCTATAATGAGTATTAACCAATCCTTCTTTTCATCAGGTGACATTGAGAGGAAACATAATCTTGAAGTAACCCCACTCTGTGACAGGCAATCCAACTCGGTTGCCAATATACAGATTGGTAAAGTTACCCCTCTTAATCTAAGTCTGCAGTATATGATGAATTTATATTTTATTACGATTTAGTGACCTGTCCAGGGGTGAACTTGTACATCAGGCTGCCTCATGCTACAGAAATAGGAGCTCCTCCTGGCCTCTGGGCGATTCTGGCTCGGACAAGGCTACTGACAATTATTTAAAATGTACTCCTACTTAATATTTGTACATTTGCTTGTGGTTGGGTTTTTCTGCTTCTGACCTTAGCAGCATTGTGTGATTTATTTGTCAGAACTTGCTCTGAATGAGAGATGTCTTCTCCTGCAGGCTTCATGGCGTACGTGGTAGAGCCTCTGTTTGTGGAATGGTCACGCTTCTCCGACACACGGCTGTCCCAGACCATGATGAACCACCTGAGCCTGAACAAGCAAGGCTGGAAGGAGGGAAGGGACAAGCAGGAGGCTAGCGCTAGTAGGGCCTCAGAGGAACAGAGGACTCCTACCACCAAAGACTCAAACTCCAAAGTATTACCTCAGGGAAGCAAAGGGTCATGACACACCAAGCGTGACTGGCGCCCACGGTGAGGTGAGAGAGAGTGGAAGTGAAACGAATATCCGCATCGGACAGAAACTACATTACCCAGCACTCCCTGCACCACAGCAACACGCTCCCCATCTAGGTTAACCACTGTTTTTGTTTTTCCATGTAATTTAACTTAATTTATTGAATTTGGACCCTTTACTTCAACATAGAGCAATACATATATATACCTCATGTTGCTTCTGCTGTATGTATTTGTATTTTATACTGTAGTTCTGCTCTGACATCACTAATTTGACACGTCACCCTTTTAACAGAGACCTGAAGGGAATGTTTTCAACAAGGCCGTTCTGATTAAAGTGCCATTTGCAAACATTTTGTTAATGCTTTTAAAGTGAGAAAAGTGAGGAAACCTTGAATTCAAAGAGAGGTTCATGTTTAGTGAATGAGACAAGCTTCTGTGTGTTGCTGCATTTCAGACTAATAGTAATACTTCCTCATACAAGAAATAATGTGAAGAGCCCACTTCACTGCTGGCTCTGAAGACTGTTTACAAGCGTATTTTGTGCTGCATTTCACAAACTAAACATTGGTTCTGTAAAAAAAAGCACATACTGTATGTGAATAACCACTCACATGAAGTACTTGTCCTGTTGACAAAATACTGAACAAACATCTGATTGCAGAACAACACAAATGCCCTGAAAGGACTGTTTTGGGCCGTTCGTTGCTCCTTGCACTGTGAACTATAACAGGTTTTATGATCCAAGAGTCAGTCAGCTCCGAGACTACTTGTGTGAAAAAAGTCAATTGGATGTGGTATGAAATCAATTTATTTCTTTACCGATAAGGTGTACAGTGTTGGGGATTTAACTGTAGCCTAACAACAATGTTTTGTAAGGGGGAAACAGGGCACGCATGTGGCCTTAACCATAGAAATAGAATCTAGATTACATTTCTATGGCCTTAACATTCTTTCAACACTTGAATAACCACTCTTCCATACTAGTACCGGATGACCTGAGTTAAGAGTGAGTTGAGGGTATAAACAGCATGACTACTTATTAAGGTCGAAATTAGGTGGTCTGTCTCTGGTAGGGCTGTGCCATGATCTACAATGTTATTTTAGAGAGTTGAAGCCCTTTCTAGAATGCAAACAGGCAACAGATGCCTTTAAACTATGCACAAAACTAAGTGACCAAACAGGTTATTTTTTTATAAGGTCGATCGTCTTCTCTCAATGCATTGTCCGACTGTTTGCCTCTGGTGTGAAAAGGAAATGACTTGGCATTAGTAGATTGGACAGTGATCCAGTCATAACATAAAACATTCCATATTTAATTTATTTTTGGTATTTTTTGATTCTGTACACAAGACACGATGGTGTCTCTGGTTGGACTTTCAGTATAGTGAATGAAAACCAGTGCTTTTCATATTATGGCAAAAATGTGTATTTTCTGGTAACTATTGCAAGACTGTTTGATATAACTGTTTACCATTTTGATGTAAGTCATTTTTGGGTAGGAACTTGCACGGCAAACTATTTTGTGAAAAGCTTTGCCAAATTGATATTTTGATACATGCCAGTTGCAGTTGCATTTTCATTAATAAAACAACTTGTCACATTTATGCGTTTGCTTTATTTTCCTCTGTCCAGTCTAAAGCCCCAGCCATTCTTCTATACGGTTCTACAAAGAAAGTTATATTCTCTGTGGGGTTTTGCATAGAGGAGGTATAAATAAGAGTGCAAAAGCATGATTTGGTTTTGATAAAGTGTCTATGATTTTTATTTTTTATTAAAGATACTGATAACTAAGGTTTCCCCTTTGATCTGTGGTTTTATTGTATCAACATATCGCTTTGTAGAAGTCTTCCATTAATACAGATCTAGTAGGCTAGAGATCAATCCTCAAAAAGGACTTTAGTTTTTGAGATACCCCTACCCTATGAATAACAAGGAAAACCATCTAAGGTCTCCCATATAAAATGGATGGTTTTATACTGTGGCGTACAGCAGGTTAGCCACCAGGGGGAGACTCGTCGAGGCCTGGTGACAGACGGAGTTTACATCAAGAGGCGATGGCTCCCTCTGCTGGACGTGCCAGGTCTCGACGGGCTCTCCGGCCAGGACTAATTAGGGCTGATTGTGGTTGGTGAGTAATCAAGGGGCTGATTGCTCACCAGCTGGACGAGTCCCATAAAGCTGCCAGAAGGGCAGCACACAGGAGTGGGGACTGGGGAAGAGAGGTTACTTCCGTACAGTCGTGCTCAGTACCAGAGATAACGGAGGGAGTTCGGTTCGGTTCCCCACAGGATACAGCAAGGCCCAGGGGACGGTATCCTGGAGGAGGTCTCCTGGAGGAGTTCTATTATTTTCTCTTTGGGTCCAAGGGGCTGCAGACCCGCTGGGGGAGAGCCGAACCGCCGCCGACAACCCCAGGTAGATGGAGACCAAAGAAGGTGTTTTGAGTGTGGCGCCCGGGGGCACCTTGCATGGAATTGCCCGGCTCGAGAGGAGTTGATGCCATCAGTGAGCCCCGGAGGCGAGGTGGGCCACGCGGTGGATGGCCAGCTACTTCCGGGGGTGAGTGACTGGCGATAACCCCATTTCCAAATCAAGAATAACCTTTTGTATCAGGTGTCTCGCCAACAGGGGGAACTTCGAGAGGTACTATTGCTGCCCCGACATTATGCGGGAACCGTTCTTCAGCTGGCCCACACCCATCTGTTGTTGGCGCACCTGGGAATGGAGAAGACCCGGGAACGGATCGCCGCCGGGGATGAGGAGGGCCGTGGAAGACTGTCGCAGCTGCCCAGAGTGTCAAATCACTGCCCCAAAAGCACACTTCGGAAACCCGCTGGCCATGGACAAAGTGGGAACCCTGGTAAAAACGACATGAGGACACCGGTACATTCTGGTAATAGTAGATTATGCCACCCGGTATCCCGAGGCCATTCCCCTATAGGCGGCGGTCTCCAAGGGAATCGCCCGGGAGCTGTTCCACCTCTTTAGCCGGGTGGGCATCCAGAACAAGATCCTGACCAACCAAGGTACCGAGTTCATGTCCCGCCTAATGAAAGATTTGTGTGCTCTCCTGCAGATCAAACAGATCCGGACCTCCGTCTTTCACCCGCAGACGGATGGGCTTGTCGAGCGGTTCAATAAAACGCTCAAACAAATGATGCGGAAGGTCATCGAGCAGGACGGGAAGAACTGGGACCAGCTACTACCCCACCTAATGTTCTCGGTCCGAGAAGTGCCCCAGTCATCCACCGGGTTTTCCCCTTTCGGGGAAACAGTACAAAAGAGGCCATACCGGATCCCCGAGGCCCGAAGGAAGGCCGTGAAGCAGGAAGTGGAGGCTATGCTGAGGATGGGGGTCATCAAAGAGTCCCACAGCGCATGGTGCAGCCCCATCATGTTGGTGTCCAAACCAGATGGTAGCCTGCGCTTCTGTAATGACTTCCAGGGTGTGAAAGACATCAGCTTGTTCGACGCCTACCCCATGCCAAGGGTGGATGAGCTCATCGACCGATTGGGAAAGGCCCGGTACATCAGCACCCTCGACCTGACCAAAAGATATTGGCAGGTACCATTGGCAGCCTCCTCCCGGGAGAAGACAGCGTTTTCGACACCGGACGGCTTATATCAGTACCGGGTACTCCAATTCTGTCTACATGGATCCCCACCCACGTTCCAGCGCCTGATGGACCGAGTCCTCCGACCCCACCAACAGTACGCAGCGGCCTATTTGGATGATATCATCATCCACAGCCAAGGTTGGCAAGAGCATCTGACGTGCCTCCAGTCGGTGCTGGACGCGCTCAGGCAAGCCGGGTTGACAGCGAACCCCAAGAAATGCAAGCTAGTGTTCGAGGAGGTGGAGTACCTGGGATATTTCATCGGACGGGGGAACATCAAGCCCCAGGAGAGGAAGGTCCACGTGGTACTTGACTGGCCCGTTCCACGCACCAAGACACAGGTCAAGTCCTTCCTGGGACTGGCAGGATACTACAGACGGTTTATCTCCAACTTTGTGGCTATAGCCTCCCCCCTTACCGATCTAACCAGGGCCCGCCTCCCGAAAACAGTGAAATGGACGGGCGAGACCGAAGAGGTGTTCAGGCGCCTGAAGGAAGTGCTGTGCACCCGTCCGATTCTCGTAAAGCCAGGTACCGATGTTGGTACAGATGGACGCATGCAACACGGGACTAGGGGCAGTCCTGTCCCAGGTACACGATGGGGAGGAGCACCCCATCATGTACATAAGTCGAAAGCTGATACCCAAAGAAAAAAGTACTCAATTGTCGAAAGAGTGCCTTGCGGTGAAGTGGGCACTAGACACTGAAGTATTATCCTGTTGGGCACCCATTTCACCCTGGTCACAGACCATGCTCCCTTGGTCTGAATGGCCAGGGGAAGGGACACAAACGATCGGGTCACCAGGTGGTTTTGATCCCCACAGGATACAGCAAGACCCCGGAGCCCCAGGAGACGGTATCCCCGAGGAGGTCTCCTGGAGGAGTCCAATTATTTTCTCTTTGTTTATTATTTAAATAAACACCCTTGAAACCGAGCCACTACAATTCTGTTATTGTCTGATCTGTGTAAACGTCTTGACCAAACCCCCTGGTCTGCCACAATACAAATATTTTACTACAAAAGTGGTTCAATTGATAGATACACACACACACACACACACACACACAGCATTAGGATATCTTAAGCATTTTGGGAATATAGACCTGTAAGCACACAGATACAATAGGCGGAAATATAAACTATTAATATTTATGATAAACTTCACTTTTTGGTAGCTGGTCAATAGACAACTTTGTGCTTTGTGTCAAATGTGCTTTTATTCAGTGCTGTATGGCCCTACCTGACAAAGAATGCATAAAGTTACACATGTGCAGTGGTGGAAAAAGTACCCAACTGCCATAATTGAGTAAAAGTAAAGATACCTTAATAGAAAATGACTCAAGTAAATGTGAAAGTCACCCAGTAAAATAC